TCTCTCAGCCTATCCTGCCGTAATTAACCACAGACAATTAATATTGAAATGCAGTGTCACCCTGTGAGGCCATGAAATTTCCAGAAATTCTCTGCTGCACATTCCGCCACTTTATTGGCAAGATTGAATTAGCAGCAAAGGGCACCTTGGTTTTTAAAACTGGCATACAATAACGTTGATTCTTCATAGATCGAATGCAATGGATGCTCAAAACCATTTGTTCAACACATGAAAAAGACAAATTATTCAGACCAATTGAAACATTCACTAGGAGGGTTTTACGTATTACAAAAAAGAAAAAGAAAAAGAAAGAAAAAGAAAAAAATAATCCGACCTTCTCTCGTGGCACTGGTTCCTCTAGGTCCCCAAAGCTAATTTGCAAGGGATTGTCTGAGCCACGGGCCTAGAGCCCACCTCGTCCCTCCTGCAATCACCAGCCGGCGCCCACAGCGTCCACCCGCAATCATCGGCACCTGCCGCATGAGTCAATGGGCCCAAATTGCGGGGCGCGGCAGACGCCCCACCGAGAACAAGGAACACAAAGGGCTCTGCGCTTCAAGCTGTGGGTGGGAATTACAAAAGGTTAAGAGACTAAATATAAAAAGCCCTTTGAATATAAAATCAATGTGCTTTGTTGCTAAAATCTGGGTGCTGTAATTTATCCGAAATAGGACTCGGCAATATCTGGCAATAGTCCACGCCTAGGAATTGTCGGTTCTGCTCATCGAAATGCAAATAGTCTACTAGAAACTTAAAAACAATTAAAACAACTGAAATATTTCATATCAACAGACTAACGAAATACCACACTTTGCAATTACCTATTACTGACATTAGGCCTCCAGAAGCAGGATACGTTTTCTCTTTTCATTTTACTTATTTGTGTAAGTGGAAACACAAGTTTTTGAAGAGCTTGTTTTTTGAATTGTCTGGAATCCCAGGCCAAGGAAGCTTGAGACACTGTGGTGGCCTTGGCCAGAGATGATGCCTGGGGGGGGGGGGGGATGGACAGGGTAGTGTCCAGAGCTGCCTCAATGATTTGGTGGCTGGTACATGTTTAGCAAACCTCAAGAAGTCCACCTGCAGGTGAGGGTCGGGGTGGACTGACTCTAGTCTCCTCTGTGGGCCCCAGGCTTTGGGAGCACGCTCAAACCCTGACCGTAGCTGTAAAGTGTGTGCTTTAATTCAGGTCTGACTCATGTGCGCTCTGTATTTCACCCCTCCCATACTCCCGCCTCCTCCTCGGGGCAGCCTGACCTCTGAGCCCCGCCGCCCTCGCCCTCTGTGCTCAAAGCCGTGGACTGGGAGGCTGGGTGAACATGTCCCCTAGCTCTCACATGAATGACCCTGAGCAGAGGCCATAGGTCAACCTGCCAAACTCCTGCAGTGTGAGGTCAGCTGAGACCTTTCTACACGCCCTGCTGGCCTGGCAGAGGCACCATCATAGCCCCGTGGGTCTGGGGTGTTAGAGGCTGGGCTGACTGGCTTTGGGGGTCACGATGGGAGATGGGACAGCCTTTGTCGTGGTCTGTGCCTGAAGCGGTCCTGGGGACCCTCTCTGACAGCCATCATCTGTGCATGCAGCATGGGTGGCTTGCCTCGATGGCATTTCTATTTGGCAAAGATGCCCACTGTCCAGTTTCTCCTTCTTCTCTAATGATGGAGCTTAATCTGTGTTGGCACATCATACTTACTATATAGCTGTGCAACCAAGTTCTGCCCCTCATATTTTCTTCCTTCCTAGGAAAATTTAGCGTGATATCCAAAACTTGTGCTGCCTTCTAGGATCGTGACATGGTAGATGAAAACCCCAGATAAGCAGAACAAGAGAGAGAAATGGGGATCCCATGACTGGTGATGGACCTGCCCCTGCCCCTGCGCTAGTGTACCAGGGGAGGGGGGAGCAAACATCAATGGAATTGAAGTTATCATTGTGTCATTTGCTAAAAGCAGCCATGTCTCATCCTAGGCACTCATCCTTCTCACAAGGAAGCCGTACGTCTCAGGAGCACAGGTCAGTCCCATATATCTGGGTCAGCTCAGTGGGGGTAACAGGTGGGATGGGAATCATCTTGGCTCTGGTAAGCAGGAGACATCTGCACATGGCCTCTGGTGGCGTCTTACAGGCCCCTACACAGAAGCGCCAGCCTAAGCAGGAACAGGGCCCACACATCTCAGGCCTTCCTGAGTTAACAGCTATCGATGTGAGCTCTCTGGGCTCTTATCTCTGCCTTGCTCCTGAGTGACTTGTCTAGATGGTGAGATGAGTGGACAGCTTCTGAGACGACCAAGCATCTAACCAGGGCTTCCTTGACCCACGGTGCCTGGCTCCTTCCAGGCCAGCATGGGCAGCAGCTCTCAGCTGGCCCTCAATCCTTCACATAGCGTTCAGAGCCACAGGACCCAAGAAAGCCTCACAGCCTCGGCACCAGGGACACAGTGAGGCAGCAGAGGGACCGTGTCAGGGACACGAGCAAGGTCATCAGGGCTTCTGTGTGTCTGAAACACCCAAGTCCACTCTAAGGAAGCAGTCCCTGGGCCACTTTCTACTCACACAACGAGACTGGTTCCGATTTCTACTCATTTATTGTTTCTTTCTTCAGGGAAGCCAGTGCCCCGCTCTGGTTGGAGTCCTTAGGCACAGTTTGGCATTTCTTGTGTGTAGAATTTGCCTTTTAGTTCCTTGTCACAGGTTGAGGCATGCCCCCCCAGATGCCTCCTTCCTGCTGACCCAGAGAGGGGCTCTAGGAGTGGCCCCAGATGTGGGAGAAGCCCAGCCAGGTCCTTCACACAGGTTTGGTCCTAAGCTGTACAAATTCAGGCTTTGATTATGGGTCTTTTTTTTTTTTTTTTTTTTTTAATCATAACGTGCACTTGCCCAGGACAGAGTTAAATTTCTGTAGTGACTTAATTAAGGGCTCTGCAGAGAATGCCTCAGGAGGAAAGGTGCAGGGCCAAGGGCCCCTCCACCCTGCAAAGGCCGAAAGGCCAGAGTAGAAAACTGGAGGTGCTGGGTGGGGCCTCTTTAGTACTGTGGGATCACTGGGGCAGAGGAGTCAGTGTCTGTCACTGGGTATAAGGCAGACTCACAGGAGAACGCAGCAACTTTGATAGAAGGAAAACGAGTTTTACTGGATTGTAGTTTGAAAATTAGTAGTACAATAAATCTGTCCTACATGGGATCACAGAAGACAAGGGTAAGACTCAAGAAACGAGGGAGAAGGGTGTGCTTTACTGAGTCCCCCACTGGCTGGTGAAAAGGGATTGCCTCTGCCTCTCCGGGGCTGGGCCTCTGCACTTCCTGCAGGGATCTGGGTTTTACAAGTGCGTGCGAGCATGGAATGGCAGCAGAGTCATGCAGAGTCACGTCACTTGCAAGTGCTCTAAGCCATGTGTCCTTGATCCTGGGGCTCTAGGGGCTCTAAGGGCTCAAGGGCTCCTGGAGAAGGATGGGAACTCACAGGTCTCTTGCTCAGGCAACAGCCCAGCTCCCAGTGGGGTCCAAGGGCCTGAAACTACCTACCCAGGGACCACTCCTGGAGCCCACCTTCTGGAGTGCTGTCTGATGGGCAGATAGCAAAGATTTACCCATCCCGTGAGACTCTTGGGCAAGTTTTAAGAAAGGCAGAAATAGGCAGGAAGCCATTTCTCTGAACCTTGGTCTGCCACCTTGGTTTAGTCTGGATTTAAGTGGGTCCACCCTCACCTAGCCCTCATGCGGAGGTGGGTGGGGTGAAGGTGGTTGTGCATGTGGTCTGCCAGCTCTAGGAGGTGGAGGCTGCTGGTCTCACTTTATGGAATGAGCACTGTCCATTAGAAACAACAGGGAAATGGCAGTCCAAGCGCTGACAGTTGGGTACAGGGTTGCTGGCCAGGTGGCCAGCCCTCGGGGAACTCCCTACAGGGAACAATGACTAGGGATGGAGCCCAGTGGTAGAGTATTTGCCTAGAATGACAAAGGTCAGTATTAGACTTCAGGTGTCAGACTCAAAGCCTTGTGGGTCTTCCGAAAGGAGCGCCATGCTTCTCGTGGCTTCCCAAGTGCCTGAGACCATGAGGTGACACAGATCTCATAGGTCCCAGAAAGGACCTGGGCCTGGCTCCTGTGCTAACCGCTGGTGTACTGCAGACCCCCGGGAGCCCTGTGAGACACCCCCATGACCTCTTCTCAGGCTGTCCTTGGTTAATATCACCTCAAGAGCTCTGAGCTGCACCATGAAGCTGTCTGCAGGAGACAGGGCAGATGCTCTTCTACAGCACAGAGCAAGCTGAATTCTGGGGCCTGGAATTCATTGAGAGTGCAGTACTTGGCTCTGAAAGTCCTCAGGGCGGAAGGCGTGGCGCCCAGTGAGTATTTTTATGCAGAAATATGAGAACTATTCTGCCGATGCAGCATGAAATTGCTCCTGTGACTGAGGTGGAGTCAGACGAAGGGGGAGGTGGACCAGGCTGGCTCCCGGGGTTCTGTGGATGTGCTGGCCCCCAGGCTAGATCTGCAGGCTTCTGCTCACTGGCATACAGGGTCCTCTCCGGGCTACAGCATGTCTGCCCATAAGGAAAGAATATGAGCCCTCCCCTCATATTTGAGTTTGCCTTTGAGTTTGCACGGGAGGACCTGCAGCCTTAGCTACTTGCCTCAAGATGGCTGTCTGGACACTCTCCTCCTCTTGTCAGAAATGCCGCTGCCCTGACAAAGACAGGCCTGGAAGTCTCTGAACACCTACTGGCAGGCAGGGTTTCTGGGCATTTGGGGAGTCAGTACCCAAAGCTCTGTGTTTCCTGAGACTCTGAACGGCCACCTTGTGTACTCTGTCTCTCTTCTGTCATGTGAATAGCACAAGAGCAGAGAGAAGCCACGGGTAACTGCCAGGAGGGCCTTTGAGGGCCGAGGGCCACGCTGGGCCTCAGAGGGCTCAAGATGAACCTTAGGAAGCTCCAGGAGAGTCCAGATGAACTGAGATGCAGGCCATAAGACCACCAGATCCCTACTGGAACTTCACCCTCCTGCTGGTCTCCAGAGCCACCTCCAATCAGATAACTATAGTAATGCACACACGCTAATAAGGTTGTCCCTGTTGCCATATGAAGATGCAAACAGAGCCAAGCATGGTGTCGCACGCCTTGAATCCAAGCACTCAAGCAGAAGCAGGCAGATCTCTGTGAGTTTGAGGTCAGCCTGGTCTACAGAGTGAGTCCTAAGACAACCAGAGCTGTGTAGAGAGAGGTTGAGTATTTACAATATATCAAAGTATAACATAACTTAGTACCACCAGGCACGACGAACTGCCGTGATTTAAAACTTCAGCTGCATGAATGACTATCAAATGACCCAAAGGAAATCTGGCTTTGAATTCTTTCAGGGTGCAGTTTCCACCTGCCTGGCCTGGAAGCAGGGACCACATCTTTGTGAAATAGCGCAGTGAAATGGCCTGGAAAGCCAGGGCAGATTGTGACCAAACAGGGCCGTGGACCCACAGACCATTTGTCTTGCTCAGCTCGGGTTGGGTCCTGCAGCTTTGTCTAGCCTGGGACCATTCATCTTCCACAGCTGCCGGGTTTGTGTGGTGAGGATATGGGGGTTGCATTTGCTGTGTGCCGACAGCCGCTCAGGCCTGGGTGCAGTCCCCTGAGCTTCATGTTTCTCCCAGGTTCACGGCGCCTTGTCACGTTCCCACCCGGGGTTCTAAGCACTGTTACCTTGCAACCCCTTGAACTGCTGATGTGGCCCACTCACCTGGCAGGGTGCTGGGGGTGTCTCCCTGGCCACGGCAAGCTCCCGAGTCCTGCGCCAGCTCCGAGTCTCTCTTGGCACTTTCCAAGGCAGAACCAGGCTCCAGTCCCCAGGATGTGGGGAGGGACAGAGGGTAGGAAATACACTGGAACCCACTAGGAAAGGCACAGCAAATACCACAGTGTGGGTCAAGAGAGCAGGCTGGGGGACAAAGGGGTAGAGGTCAGGAGCTGGGGCAGGCAGGCACGAGAGGGGGCTGGGGTGGCAGGGCTGAGCCAGCCCACACTCTGCATATGTCCTGGCCCTGACCCTGGGACTTGAACTCGTCAAGGAGCACTAGTCATACTTGGAGGGTTGTGTGGGTCACCCTGAAATGCTTGCTGAGCTGGGCCAACTAGGGCCAAAGAGGAACCTGTAAGTGGGTCCCCTCCTGCTCCCTGTGTCTGGTGACCCTTAGGCGTGTGGCTCCCTTCAGCCCCCCCACTCCCTGTCAACTCACCCGGTTTTATTTTTCCCTTCGAAGTCTGGCTGGCTGGCAATGTGTTCAGTCCGTCCCAGTTATAGTGCATGGGAAAGGATGGGTAAGGGAGCCACGGGGAAACCCTTCTAGTTCAGTCTCCTCAGAGGTGCACCCCAGGGAGGACTATCACCCTTACAACGGTGTCTGGATGGGCGTCTCCGTGTGGTCTTCATCCATCTTGAAAAAGCTGACCTCAGAGTACGCTGGGAGTTGCACATATCTGACGCCTGCTGAGATTTTCAGGGTCCGGCCACTCTCACCTTCCAGGGGAAGAAATCAGGAGACGCACCCTTCATGCCGTGTGAGGAATGAAAGATCCAGGCTGCATCCCACCTTCGGCTGGCCACTCGGAGCCCCCCCCCCCTTGACTCCCTTGGAGGAATGCCTAGCAGAAGCCCCTGCTGGCCTCGACACCTCTAGGCTGCCTCTTTTACTTTGAGCCTCTGTTCTTTCACAGGGAACCCTGACACTGGCTCTTCAGCTCTGGAGCTCATCTACCTGAAGGCCGTCTTGCACTGCCCTCCAGCTGCCTTCATACTCAGGGAGGGTCACCCCCCCCCCCAACCATCTTGTGGATCAACGTGCTACAGTAGGTTGCTCACTCTGCTCACCTACCAGCTTGACCATGGGTTATAGGCTCAGCCTCAACCACCCACCTCCCCAGTCACCAATAAAAGACCGGGTACGCAACCGACAACGTACAAAGTGTTTTCTGAGTGGACAGGGGTGCTGGCAGACCTGGCGCCCTGCGGTCAGCGGCCTCCTCTGAGAGGTCCACTGGGCCCTTCTGGGGCAGGCAGGGGCAATGAAGCTGGACACGTGGCCACACGTGCAGGCCCACGCTGGCTAGTATGTGGGGAGGATACCTTGAGTGACACAAGATGGCCGTGTGAGTGCCGGGCAGGGGTGTGATGGAATAGAGTGATGGTCTTCACAGCTCTGAGCTGAGTCTCCAGCCTGACAGGGGGCTTAGGAAGTGGCTGAGTTCTACAGACTGAGGAAAACCTTAAAGGGTCAGGCCCCAGTGGGCTCTGACTTGGGGTGGCAGTGGAGAGGGCCAGCTCGGAACTCTGCTGCTTCCCAGAAAATGGTCCCAGCTGAAGAAGGAGGCCCCGGGGATCTGGGGGAGGAGGGAGGAAGGCCTCCAGAGTTCCGCAGGCTTCTGGGAAATCGGGACACAGCTTTGGGCACACAAGCATGAAGTCTCCATGAGGCTAAGAAAGAACTAAAGAAAACCAAAGCTCACAAGGCTGGGGATGGCCCGTCCTTATTAGCCTAGACAGAAAGCCTCAGAAGGCAGAGGGGCTGGTTAGGTGGGTGCTCTAAGGGGCCTGGCTTCCATACTGGGGGACGAGCTAGTACCAGATGGTGCTTTCTCCTTCAGACCTGTTGGGCAAATCATGAAAACAAGGCCAAGAGGATTAAGCCTTTTCCATATAACTTAACTCTGCTTTAGAATAAAAACTCAGGAATATTTATAGGAATACAAAAGTATCTGGCATCCAACAAAGTAAAATTTACAATGCCTGGCATTCACTCAAAGATTACCAGGCACGAAAGGAATGCAGGAGAAGTATGGTGTGTAATGAGGAGAAAAAGTAAATTCGTCGCAAATGACCCCGGTGCTAGAATTAACAATCAGGGACAGATTTATTACAATCCGGGCGGTACTCCCAGCACTTAGAGCAGTGGGGAATCAGGTGCTGTGACTGTGTTCTTATGCTCATCACTGAAGTACAGGCACGGGAGGTTAGGAAAGAACAAGAGATGGAAACCACAATGTTGTCGCACATGGTGCCCCCTGTCTGCAATCCTAGCACTCAAGAGGTAGAGGCAGGAGGATCTGCTGCAAGATCAAGGCCAGCCTAATGTACATACTGAGTTCCAGGCCAGCTAGGGATACATGGAGAGGTTCTGTAAATAGTGAGTGAGATTAAGAAGTACACTGGATGTGACCCACAACAAATTAACTGATGCAGAAGGAACGATTTATGAGCCTAAAAATATAGCTAGAGAAATCATCCAAAAAAAAAAAAAAAAAAAAGGAGGAGAAGGAAAAGGAGAAGGAGGAGGAGTCAGACGGTTTCCAGCAATCTCACACACAGGAAATAAGAGAGTGGCAGAGAGACTTGTGGGGGAAATAATGGCTGGACATTTTCCTAATGAGATGGAACTGGAAGTCCATGGATGCAAGAAGGCTCAACGCAACTAGAGAAGGAGCAGGAATTCTGCAACTGGGAGGGAGGACTGACCCCCTACAGCTGGGGAGGACACCTTAAAGCACCCCTCAAAGGGGAAGTAAATCAAGGTGCTCCCAGACATCAACAGTCAGCCTTCATTAGGGCAACCATTAAGGCCAAGGGAAGATGACACTGGATGGAGACGTCGATCTACAGGAGGGTAAGACAGCCACAAGGGAGGTAATAAGAATTATAACTAATGCGGGAAGGGGTAGGCAAGGTAGTTAATTGCTCACTGCCCACCCTGAGGAAGGGAAACTGCTGGGACAAACTGGGGGGGTGGGGGGCACCAGGGCGAGTCTGCATCTACCACATTAATAATTATGCTAAATGGGGCTGGGTGGCGGCGGCGGCGGCGCATGCCTTTAACGCCAGCTCTCAGGAGGCAGAGGCAGGCGGATCTCTGTGGTCTCACAAAGTGAGTTCCCGGATAGCCAGGGAGGCTACACAGAGAAACTCAAAACAAAACAAAACAAAACAAAAACACCAAAACCAACACAACAAAAGTGCTCAATGTAAAGGGAAGAAATGCATCAGTTAAAAAGGGCACTGGCTGGAATGATCAAATACAACTGTAACCCAAGACTCAGGAGGCTGAGGCTCGAGGGTCCAGAGTCTGAGTCCGGCCTGAGCAATGACCCCATGTGGTGGTCTGCTTAAGAATGGCCCCCACAGATTCCTGTTTGAATGCTTAGGGAGCAGTGGTAGGTTGTGTGGCCTCGCTGAAGAGTGTCACTGGGAGAGGACTTTGGGCTCTCTCTGCCTGCTGCCTGTGAACTGGGTTGTAGAACTCTCAGCTACCGGGTCTGGCTGCCACGCCAGACAATGAACTAAAGCTCTGCACTGTAGGCGGTTCTGATCAAATGCTTTCCTTTATCAGAGCTGCCATTAGCAGGTGGTGGCCGAGCAAACCTTCAATTCCAGCACTTGGCAGGCAGAGCTAGATCCATCCCTCTGAGTCTGAGGCCAGAACAGTCTACAGATTGAGTTCCAGGACAGTTTCTCTTAGAGAAACCCTGTCTTGACCAATACATGCCCACAAAGGTGGCTGTATAAAAAATGAAAATAACAAGTGTTGGAGACAATATGGAACAGCTAGAACCTATCTCATTGGTCATGGAAAATGTAAAATTCAACTTATTTGCAGATAACATGCCTATGTAAATAGAAAGTCTCAAGGAATCTTCAGAAAATTTACGAGAATAAATAATACAAGTAATGAATATATGATCGATAGAGAAATAAAATAAATCTTAAAAATTCTAATGTTTAAAATGCACATGTATAACAGCATAAAAGGGAAACTACAGGGACTGGAGAGATGGCTCAGAAGTTAAGAGCACTGGCCACTCTTCCAGACGGCCTGGCTTTGCTTCCCAGCACCAACACGGCAGCTCACAGCTGTCTGTAACTTTAGTCCCAAGAGATGTGATGCCTCTTCTGACCTCTGAAGACACTACACACACAGACAGGCAACCCCCCCCCCAAACTAAAAACAAGCAAGCTAGCAAACGAACAAACAAAAAAACAAAGGCCCTGGGATGTCACTCGGCTGGTAGAATAATTGCCTAGTATGCTTCAAGCCCTGAGTTTAAAATAAAATATATCAATCCAACACAAATTCTTCCAAGAACCAAAGTGGGAGGAGAAAAGAAAATCCCAGATAAAACCAGGCATGGTAGCCCAGGCCTCTAATCCCAGCACTTGGAAGCAGAGGTAGGTAGATCTCTCTTAGCTTAGCCTGGTCCACAAAGTGAGTTCCAGGAGAGCCAGGACTGTTACACAAAGAGACCCTGTCTTGAAAAAAATTAAAAAAAAAAAAGAAAAAAAAAGAAAAAGAAAAGTCTCAGACCAATATCCTTCATACACAGAAAGGAAAAATTATTTTTAAGATTGTAGCAAATTAAATCCCAAGATAATTCACCGGGGAAAGAAAAATCTTTAACAAATGGGTACTGGGACAACTAGACAGCAACATTCAAAGGACCCCCTATTCTACAGGAAAGATTAACTTCAAATAGGTCACAGACTAAATGTAAGAGCTAAAAATGTAAGCTGACTGGTGGTGGTGCACACCTTTAATGCCAGCACTTGGGAGGCAGAGGCAGGAGGATCTCTGAGTTCAAGGCCAGCCTGGTCTACACTGATAATCGGGTGTGTGGTGGGGGAGTAAACCGATTACAATTAACCAGAGAAAGAACTCCTTTGTCACTGCACTCCCACATTTAGGGCTCAGCAACAACACGTGGGCACCAGCCCCTGTCTGGGACACCACAAACAGAACACCCCGTTATCTAGATAACTCTGACAGCTCTGTCTCTGTTCCAGATAGAAAACGATCTCTTTGGCCTCTTAGAAATCACGTGACAAACTGGACCTGATGGCACAGGCTGATAATTCCACCATTCAGGAGGCTGAGGCAGGAGGATTAAGAAAAAGTTAAAGACCTTAGCTGGGTGGTGGCGGCGCATGCCTTTAATCCCAGCACTCAGGAGGCAGAGGCAGGTGGATCTGTGAGTGCGAAGCCAGCCTGGTCTACAAAGAGAGTTCTAGGACAGCTGGAGCTACACAGAGAACCTGTCTCAGAAAACAAAAACAAACACCCCCCTCATTTAAACACATTGACCATATGATACTGCAATGTAGCCTGCAGGTACACAGAGAAATTAAAATCTGTGTATACAAAGCCCCGTACGACACTGCCCCTAACATTGATCCCAGTGGAAGGCAACCAGGTGTGGCCTATCTGGGCAGCAGATATCTGCTGCCAAGGCCTGTCTTAGCTACGTGTTGAGTTCGAGGCCAGCCAGGTCAGTTTCAAGGGGGTATGATACCCTCTTCTGGCCTGTGTGGGCGCCTGCACGGATGCACACATACTCACACAGAGACACACAACATATACATACACATACCATTTAAGAGAGAGAGATAATGGAATCATTTAATGCTGAAACTAATGGTATGTAAGTGATACCTTAATAATGTTGCTAAGCCAACTTAATACATACCTTAAAGATTTTATTTTAATTATGTGTATATCTGTGCATCTGTGTGCACATGATTACAAGTGTTATCTCAGGACCAAACCAACACCTTACCCAGGTTTGCCCTACTTAAGGGCCTGCAGCCCATTTCTTCTGGAAGAGTAGGATCTCCACCCTGAAGACACTTACTTGTGGCAAGTTCCCCAGAGTCTTGCTGCAGCTGTACGTTCAGTGTGAAGGGAGAGCCTTGGAACACTTCCAGTACCTCTGGGCCCAGAACCACAATCTTCTTAGCCTGTGCTGGGGGGCAGAACAGGGCTTTAGTGTTTCTCATAGCTGCACCCAAGGGCTCCAGTCCGTCCTCACCCCGTTAGAGGGTCTACCAAGATGGGGCTGCTGGGGCTGAGGCTCCCAGGCACCTGTTAGGCATGCATGGGAAGGTTGGCTGAAGATTTTAACAAAGGACTCATGCCCTTGGCAAGGCTCACCCCTGGGATGGCATCTCTGTCCTGAGTCTCAGGAGAGGCCACTAGGTGCAAAGGATGGCCAGGAGCGTACCAAGCCAAGGTAGGCATGGGTCACTCTGCAGTTGTGTCAGAGTGTAGAGGTCTCGAGAGAACCTGATGGGGTCACACAGGGTGGTGGGGGGAGAGGGGGAGTTTCAGGTCAAGTTAGACCAAGTAACTCCAAAGTCCTGTGGCTAAGAGGCCCATGCCTAGGGGGTATCTATGGTTGAGAGGTACTGTGGCTTGGGGGGGGGGAAGCCTGTGGTGGGGCTGGGAGCTGGGAGAGCCCATAGATGGGAGGCCCTGCTTGGAGCAGGGCCCCTTGGGTCTACACAGCCACAGGCCCTTTTGAAATCAAACAGGATATGCTTTTCCTGAAAAGGGTTGGGTTTTATGTTTCACCCCATGTCACCTCGGTCCAATACCTCCCATGTGGCAGCCCAGGGCCACCTGAGAGACAGTGAGGCCCCGCTCAAACACAATCAATCCACAGCGGACTCCACAGGGACACTGGGGGGGGTGAAGGTTGGGGACACCTACCTGCAGGGTGGCCATTGATAAACATCCCACAGTAAGTGACTCCTGAGCAGTGCGCCAAGCTGCCCAGCCCGCTGAAGACATCGCTGTGCCACTGTCCCTGCACAGAGAACAAGGTGGCCTTAGAGGGTGGCTCCAGGGAGTCCTGGGACCCTCCACTGCAGGGACGTCCAGGGCTGTGAGGTTAACATGTAGCCTTTCCTCTGACGGTGAGGCGCTGCTTTTTGTTAGGAGGGATCCAAATTGCTCCGCTAAGTGTTCTCCCTGTGAATTTTAAAGACGCCAGGAAAGAGGGAACAAAGGTACAGCACACACCATGCAAACAAAACGCCACTGAACAGGCACACTTTCAGCACAAAAGGCCTTCTCATAACAAAGATGTGGCACTTACTTAGGTGATCATGAGGAGACCTGACTCTGTGACTACAATGGGGCCGGGACCAGGCCCGGAGCTTTTAAATGAAAAGGCAATTAAAGCACACAACTTGAGCTCCAGCACACACACCTTGGAGTGGGGGTGGGGTGCCACTTCCCACGCCCCATTGGCCTCTTCTATAGCACACCTGTATTCCCAAGCAATTGTGTGAAACAGCAGGAGGATTACTTCCACAGAAAAATTGTAAGATCAGGATGGTGTTTTATTTGGTTATGAATTACTTGTATGGGGGAAAAATCAACCAACAACAGGCTTGGTTTGAGTCATTCTTCTGCTGAAGTTAATTGGGCCTCAGCTGCCCTGCTCTGTCCTGGAACCCCTCTGCATGCAGCCTGGGCCTCTGGGCCACATGGTCACTAGTTGGAGGGGGACACTGGCCAGTGTCTGAGAATAGGAACATGGCCTGGAGTCGCTGAGAGGCTGTGGGGAGAGGACGGGTGAACCCGTAGGGTCAGAGTCCTGAGAACCCGGGAGGAAGCTTTCCACAGGCTGCTGGGAACACAGCCACCACATGGTGAGGAGCTAAGTCTCAGGAGATGAGTGCACAGAGGCCTCAGGCCAGGCAGGGAGAGGAGGTGCTTACCCTGAAAATCTCACGCCTTTAGGCCTCATTCAAAACCAGCAGCTCTGGGGGGGGGGGGCGCTCAGTTCAGGAGATGTCAGTGGCCAGCTGTGGAGCATGTGGGCAGGGGCCTGGTTGCTCACCCAGGAACAAGCGCCTCCGGGATGTGGATAGGCCTTCTCCTGAGAGTTGCCAAGTTACCCCTGGGCGAGGCTCCAAGGTGCCTGGGGTGGCTCCGGTCCTCCGGTCCTGAAATCCCAAGGCTACAAAGCAGCCGCAATCCTGGAGCAGCTTATGGTGAGTGCCCAGTTGACAATGCCCCCCCCCCCCCCCCGTGTCCCATCCCAGCAGGCGCCGCTCACCCCATCGTTTGCTTGATCCCACGGTCTAATGCTATGAAGAGTGTCCGCTTGGTGTATACTACCCCCACTGATCCTGACAGTCCTTCCTTGTCATCAGCCTTCGGCCTTCTTCCCAGCGGCCTCCCCACCCCTCCTGTGCCTGCTGTCCTCACTGCGTCCAGTCTTTCTCCTTCCTATTGCAAGTCTCTCAAGGGCGCCCTGGCTCTGGCTGATGGGTTCTCAACTACAGGACATGCAATGGCAGGCAGTTTTTCTTCTCTTAGCTCACCGTGCCCACTTTGGCTTCTGAAAAGTGCCAGTGTGGTCTTTCAGAGAGAAGGGGGACAGGCCACGGGCAGGTCAGGGCATGTGACCAGAAAGGAGTGCCCGGGCACCGGCAGTGACAAATGCAGTGATGTGGAGGTGCCTGCTGGCAAGGCTAATGGCTTGGGCAGTGCTGGGTAAAGAGCTGTGGGTGGCACAAGTCTGTCACAGGAGCCTCTCAGCCAGCCGCTCCCTGGCATCTCCAGCTCAGCTAACAGTGCTCACCATCCAGAACATTTGCCATAGTCCCTGGGGTGGGTGGCCAGTGGGTTGCATGCTAGAATCAGAGCCCATATGGTAAGAGCTGGAGCTTGGTGTTCCTGGCTTCAGGTCTGCACATGGATGCTACAGATGTGTGCAGGAGACTGAAGACACTAACCTGTGGACTTGCCTGAGTGATATTATAAATCCTGTATTGGACATTTGCATCCAGATCATAAATAGATACATACGTACTATTAAATCAATTCCTAGAGTGTTGGGCAGGCTCCCGTAGATAACAACTCCCTTCCTTCCATGGTGTCCCTGTGAAGCAGCCCAAGGAAGCTGCTGGACAGTTACTGGTCTGGAGCCCCGGAACTGCCAGCTAGCTCCCAGTTGGGCCTTCCACTCTGCGAGTATCCAGAGAGGCTTGGGGGCTGCCCAGGCAATGCCCGGGAGTCAGTCTGCAGGTCTCCACCACTGGGAGGTAGAACAAGGCATCGCTCTTCTCTGCCCAGCTGCTGCCTGACATGCAGGGAAGGATGGATGTGTATGATGACAGAAGAGGGTGATGATGACGTAGACAGCCAGAGAAGTCGTTCAGGGCTCATATTTGTACACCAAACCATGCAAGCACACAGCAAACAAGGAGCCAGTACCCAGGATGGGTACAGCAGACGGCTCTGTGACGGCTCCAGTAGCCCCGAGAGTGGCGCTCAGCCCCACTGCTGCCGCCGTGCCACAGCTGCAGGACACATTTATGGCTGTGAGTGAGCACACTAGGGTTAATAACCTGCAGGAAACAAACCCTTGACCCTGCTCACTGTGGGAAACATTTTCCAGTTAACCCATGCTGTCTTTCTTCCTACACTTTTATTAGAAACGGTTCTATAGAAGCCGTACCATAGATGCGGGTTTGGGTGCAAGTCTGCCCTGGGCGTAAATCCACCTCTTTGCTCTTGAACATCTTGGTCCTTCCTGGGGTGAACAAGTTCCAGACCTTTCTTTTGAGTTGGCCTCTATACTGCTATGGCATGGAGGAGGCAATTATCACTGATCGCTGCTAAACCTTTGGGTCTTCTGGTCTCCTTGGGTGATGTCACCTGTGAGGGGCTGGCTGGGCTCTCCTTCTGGGGTTGCGACTGTTACAGAGCTTGGTTTCCAGCTTTCAGGGAAGGCAGGTGGCTTCACTTGCAATCCAGTGACAGTAGGCCTGCAGGATGCTGGATTTGACTGGTCTGGACTGTATCTTCCTAGGATTTCAGGATGTGGAGTGGGAATATTTTGCAGGGACACAGGCAGGCATGCTGGCACAGCACTAACAGTTGCTGTGAGGCTCCAGGAGGGGGCTGTTGTGTGGAGAGGCTGAGCTGCCGAAGGGCTACCGCCGGACACAAGTGTGCACTGTTCCACATACATTCTCAGGGTTCAGTGGTGGAGACACACCTGGGTCAATGGTCTTTCCACCCTGGACTGAACCTTCTTGGCCCAAGGCAGGCAGGCAGGCAAGTGATATGGGGGGGTAGCCACAGGCCCTGTCTTCACCTGCCTGCAGACATGCAGATGAAGAGGCCCCTGGGACTCTCTAGACATGCCAGGAAAGGGGGAGCTGGGAATTGCAGCAGATGAAGACACCCATAAGGCTAACCACCTGTTTCATGTGTGCACAGGTGTGCCAAACAGCAGGTTGCCCTCTGGGGAAACCAATATGGGAAATGTTGATTTTTTTCAGGAAGCCAGAGCTTTAGGTGACACACAGGTCCATGCTGTGGAAGAGGCTTCCCTCCCACCACAAACGTGGATGGAATCACGTTACCATGACTGTCACGCCAGCTGCCTGGCAGCCTCTAGGTCCAAGCTCGCCTTTAGAAATGGCAGATTTCCCCTAGAACATCTGCTCAGGGTCTGGGTTTCTCTCCTACAAAATGGGTGTACTGGTTGAGGGAAACTCTGATGGACACTAGGAAATGCAGAAATGGAAACCTCCATTGGTTTCTATGTTGGGAACTTCAAACAGTACAACCACTGTGGAAAAATTTGGCAGCTCCATAAAGAATTAAAAATGTAATTGCCACCGCTGTGTCTATAGACCCAAAGGCTTGCACACGGATGCTCACAGCACTGTTCCTGGTGGCCCAGGGAGGGAGCAGTCCAAGTGTCCTCTGAAATGAACGGGCAAGGGAAATGGAACATAAGCGCATATGGGCACTCAGCCCTCAAAAGGAGGCTCCTGCACACGCTCCGGCGGGAATGGACTTGAGGCCGTGATGCTCAGTGAGAAATGCCAGCCACTAAAGGACAAGTCCAAGCAAGAGGTCCCTAGAGGAGTCAGAGTAACTGAGACAGAAGAAAGGTGATGAATTTGTGAACAGACGGTGGTAATGGCCACACAATGATTTAAGCATTTAGTCAGGCAGTGGCGGTGCATGCCTGTAATCCTAGCACTCGGGAGGCAGAGGTAGGTGGATCTCTGCGAGTTCCAGGCCAGCCATGACTACAGAGAGAGTTCTAGGAAAGACTCCAAAGCTACATAGAGAAACCCTGTCTTGAAAAAAAAAAATACATAATAATTTAAGAATTTGATGCTACTGGACACTTACAAATGGACAAGATGGTTTCCTGTTCATGTGTATGTTTAAGTCTACATGTTTGACTGACAACATAAAGAACAGTGGGTCCTTTTGGTTGATGTCCCTGCACTCTGCTCCATGCAGGTGGAAGGCCCCCTGTGTGGGAGAGCCCAGCGCCTCCGCTGCAGAGAGGGTCATCAGCTGAGCCAGAGAGCCTCAGGAAGACCACTGACTCCCTTGGCTAATGAGGGAGGGCTGAGTGACAGACTGGGTAATTAGCTTTTCTCACTTGTGCGGCAAGTGAAACCTCTTGCCGCCTCAGAAGAGCAAGCAGGTCAGGCTGGCAGTTAGCTGTGAGTGTCCACGGTATCTTGAGTTCTGATTTCCAGATGGCTTTGGATGGTGATCACCTTGGGTGCCCTTTTGTGTTCACTGCTCACAAGGTCCTTGAAGAAGGTGAGGATTAAGCTGAGAGAGTGAGCCTTTGTGAAGACTTTTGTGGAGTTCAAGGCTCTGGGCCCAGGAGGAAAAGCCACGGCAATTTGAACAGTTTTAGCCTGTGTGGCAGCCTCAAGGCTTGTGCGCACTGTTTAGGCATTTAGGTTTCTCTGCTGCTTGCCTTGGGGCCGAGGGCATTTCCACCCAAACTTGGAACAAGGATCCAAGGCTGGGCCTGCTGCCGGTGAGCAGATCTGGGCTGCCCCCTGGTGGACATGCTAAAGGCATGTAAAAGTGAGGCATCCATGGTTCTGTCTCTTCTGGGCTAGGCTGCAAATTTCAGGTTTCAGAAAGGGAAGGCCTGAGCAGGGCCCCACAGATCCTAGCCACCAATGGTCAGTGGCCAGCAGGGAGGTAGGTGTTCAGGACCAGCAGTGAAGCCGGGCTGGAGGAATGAGTACTTGTGGGACAGAGCTGCCCCTGGGACTTCAAATCCTCCACTTGCTTCTGCCCAGGTGGTGTTGTGAAGGCATCTTTCTGGGCTGGAGCAGCAGGAGCCAAGGAAGCAGGGCCTTTCCCAAAACCCAGGGAAGGGTCAGGTGTATGGTGGGAAAACAAGCCTGGACCCCAGGCCCCCCATTTATAAAATGTCCCTTCAGATATGTGGGGACGGGTTATGCGAACCCACAGACGGGAGAGAAGGGACACCTTGGGTCCTCATCATCTTGTACTCTGCTACCTCACCTCTGATTTGATCCTGCTTTGGACACACTGCTAAAGTCTGAGGATGAGTCCCTAATGGGAAGGGGTCAGCCGGGTGACTGGCCACAGCAGTACAAACAATGATGTGTGCTGTCTCAGGGACATACCAGAGGCAACTTCTGGGCCAGCAGGGCAGCAGCAATGTCCACACAGACTCCAACAGTCCTGGCCAGACCAGTCCTGCGGGCTCGTTTTTATGTCAACTTGACATAAGACAGACTCATCTGAGAAGAGGGAACCTTAATTGAGAAAATGTGGCCATAGGATTAGCCTGGAAAAGTCTGACTAATGATTGACGTGGGCAGACCCAGCGTACTGTGTGCAGGGCCGCTCCCGGGCTGGTGGTCCTGGGTGCTATAAGAAAGCTGAGCAAGCCTTGGGGAACAAGCCAGCAAGTGGTGCTCCTTTATGGCCTTGCCTCTAGGTTCCTGCCATGGTTCCTGCCCTGACTTCCTTCAGTGATGGGATATTGCCAGCAAGTGTAACATGCAACAAACCTTCCTTCCCCAGCTGCTTTTGCCCGTGATGTTTTATCACGGCAAAGGGAGCCCTACTAAGGCATGGGCTACCCAAGCACAACTCTTCTTTGGCAAGGACATCCACGCTGGGTTTTCTGCGGCTCCACAGTTCTGGGAGCTGCCCTACACCACTCCACTGCCATCAGGGAGCCAGGCCCTGAACGTCTCTCCCTAGCCAGTGGGCACAATGTCGGTAGTCAGCAGAGGGAACTGTGGGCTCTGCGTCTGGGCAATCTCCTACAGGAGCTCCCCCAACAGACCCGTGGCTACCCTTCTGCCTAGTTTTGCATGAACTGGGCTGGGCTCTTCTACTTCCAGGGCCTGTTCCTTCGAGTTGCTACTCTTAACTGCCATTTGAGAAATCTGGAAAAATATGAATCACACCATCCTGGTTACTGTGATGCAACAAGAAACCAAGTAGCTGAGGCAGTTGAGACACTCCGGAGTCTAGAGCCTAAACCTGTCCTTCCTCCCTGTTGGAAACCCCTAATAGAACTTGTGTCAACTGTCACAGCAAGCAAGAACTCTTGGGCTCTCAGCCCTGGATCCCGCCAGGGCCTCACCTGCTACAGCTGGAGTAGCCAAGAAGCCCCTGATTCTTGCTGCTAGGAGTTGGCATGCGGTCGGTTCAGGGATGATGGAGCCAGCCCAGCCCTGTCTCAGGACCTCCCTGCACTGCAATGCCAGTGTTCCTGGCCAATAACTTCACATTTCTCAGTAATAGCACTAGTGTAGTCATGCCTTCTACCCACAAAACCCACAGCATCTCATACCTCCCATGAGGACAAGAGCAAGCATGTGGACAGACCTCAGCCTTCCCTGTCAACAGCACAGGGTTCATTCCTCAGGAGGGCTTAATACACACAAGAAAAGCCAGCCTCCGGGGTGGGTGTGGGGATGTGAGGATGAGCTGATTGTGGGTCTGTCACCTCCAAGGCATTGCCAGATGAAGTATGGGCAAACACAGAGACTCCCAGTCCCTTTTGGCCTCCTACCCTTCCCCCATGGCAGTAAGCGCAGTACCTCATATGTGGAGCCGTCAGCACAGTGCAGCACCCCATGTCCCTGACGCTGGTCTCGAACCCAGTCGCCTTCGTACTTGTCACCGTTCCTGAGGGCACAGTACAGGGCCCTCAGCTGGGAACCAGGTGGTTGCAGTGACTCAGACTGGCTCCCCTGACCAGGTACAGCAAGGGCACTGGAGCCAAGGCAAAAATAGGCCCGAACAGACGGTCGGTGAGCTCCTGCCTCGCCAGAGCTGGCTCAGAGGGCTGGTGACAGGCGGGGACATGTCTGTATGCACCCCCTCTCCCCCATGGCACGACCCACTTTCCAGAACATGCTGGGCCCTGTGCAGGACGTGTTTGGCTTCTGCTACTCAAATGGGAAATGACAGAGAGAAAGAAATGGAGAGGCGACTCTGCCTGTTCCAAGGGCAGGTGTGGGGGTAATAATCCACCCAGGAACCCAAACACAAGCTTAAGAACTCTAAACCTCTGCCTAGGAGATAACGGCACTGCTGGCTAATGTCCCTGGCCAGACCTAGGTCCCTGGGGTCCATCCTTGTACCAGCCTGACACAAAGGTGCTGGGACCAGGATTCAAAAAGTGTCGGAAGAGGCAGAGACTAGAGACACAGATACACATAAAGACAGAGACACACAGAGAAATAGCAAAGACTCAGAATATATTTCAGGCCTGGGTACCAGTTAGCACTTCTGTAGAATCCACCTACCCAGACCCCTCTGGCCATCAGCATTCTAGGAGTACGGGGACCACTCCTGCTGCCAAGTACCAGCTTATACCTCCAAGACCCATACTCACTTAAAGATCATCTGCCCACGGCCGTGTCTCTTGTTGTCATGGAAGGAACCCTGGTACACCTGCCCATCCTGGTCCTCCAGAAACCCCTGTCCTAGTGAAGTAACCAGAACATACCAGCTTCACTCCATACCTCCTGCTAGTGATGACCCTTCTCCTAGAGCTCTGCCTGCACCCAATTTTGGCAGGGAGGTGGTTCCCCTGTAGAGGCCAGGCTGCCTCCTAGGCCTGATGATTAAGCCTAGTTGAACAAGAATGGGAGATGCATTCAGGGATAGACAGTGCCATTGCCCAGGTCAGCAGGACTGATAAAAACTGATCCAGCCTAGCTGTTACAGGTTCTGAATGGGGCTCCACGGAGGGTCCTCCAAAACCACCTCTGTTTTTTGGCGGACAGAAGAGATGTATGATTAAGAATCCAGCTGCATGTTTGTTTTTATGTCTTGGAATTAATGCTGTATATGGTAAGTACACACTTGCACTGCCTGAGCTCTGCAAGGCTTGTCAACCCGAAAGGGCAGGGAGATGTGAATCGAGATGTGCCCGGTTGAACTGTCAAAACTCTCAGGTTCTAGACAATTCAGATACTGAAGGGCATCTCTGATTCCTAACTCAAGCAAACCTGGAGAAAGAAAAGGAAGTCCTGCTACATTCATCCACACTAGAACCTGCTAGGTCCATTTACAGAGTATGGTTTACAGCAAAGGTATGCACTTTCTACAGTGCCCAAAAGGGACAGGTGCCCCTTCAATCTGCCTCTTTACCCTCTTTGGCTTGCAGACCATAGAGGAAGTGACAGACTCGGGCCCTAGGAGGACCTGAGAGTTCCAGGGTCACTGGGTCCTTGGGAGAGTGGATCTGGTCAAACCATGGCTGTAGCAGCAGGAATGACCTGCCTTAGGCCAGCCTGGAGGACCCATGATTATCATTAAAACGACTGTACTGTTTTAACCTGTAAGTGGTAGATGGTAGGTACAGCTCAAGGACGACACATGTCCCAGGATATGGTAAGCAGTGGCTTCCTGTGCTCAGGCTTTGATTGGTTGAACAGCACCGTGGGCAGAAAAGGGGGTGCCAATTCCTGCCCTTCTCCAGCTCTAAATTCAGACAGGCTATGCAGCTATGCTAGTGGCTCTGACACCTGAGCACACACAGGGCCCCGAGCCCCTGGGCAGCAGACCTTCCCTCAGGCCGTGGAAGAGCTCCCCTTCATAGTAACCTCCGACTTTGTACTTCATGATGCCATGCCCTTGAGGCTCTCCTAAAACGAACTGTCCGGAGTAGTTGTTCCCTGGTGTAGAAGAGAGGGGAGAATCAGGCTGTTTTCTGTTTCCTGGCTGTGCTCAAATCAAATGAATGGCAGTGGAGACGCCCTTCCCTTCCCTTCCCTTTCCTCCTTTTTTTTTTTTTTTTTAAGTTTTTTGAGACATGTTTGAGAGACATGTTTCTCTGGATAGTTCTGGCTCACATGGAACTCACTCTGTAGAACAGGCTGGCCTCAAACTCAGAGATCCGCCTGCTTCTGCCTCCCAAGTGTTGGGATCAAAGGTGTGCGCCACCACCCACCAGTCTGGCTTGAGGTGTCTTTTTCAAATACAGGCCTCGGTCTCTGTCTCTATTTGTGTTAACAGCCTGCCTTTGGCTTCTGAGTGCTGGGATTAGAGGTGTACGCTACTACACCTGGCTGGTGTCTGTCTCTTGATCTTACTCTCTGCTGTTGACTGTGAGGAAGGAAACAATGCAGTGGGCGAGTGTTTCCTGTCCTGGCTGAGATGGCAGCCTATCCTGGGAAACCTTCCCTGTGGCGCTGATGGGGAGCAGTGAAGGATGAGCCTTCTTTCCCAGCTAGTTAAAAACAGCTGAATGAGAGACCAGCCCAGTCTACAGTTCCAGGACAGGCTCCAAAGCTACAGAGAAACCCCATCTCGGAAAACAAAGCACAACAGACACCTGAATGCTGAGTCCAAGAGAAAGGCTCCCAGCAACCTGCTTACAGTGAGGCCTAAAATCCCGGAAATACCCCTGGTCGGTCACGGGTATGAAGCCCATCCAAAGATACAGAACGCATGGCTGAAATATGAATGCTGGGATTAAATGAGTGCTGGGATTAAAGGCATTTTCACCACGTCTGGTCTAAAATATCTTTAATGCAGGAAAAAAAAAAAAAAAAAAAACCTCAAAAACCAAAAAATTGTAACTTTTGGATGATAAATCTTTATCCCAACTAGGTGTTAGAGAGAGGAGACCAAGCTGTCTATAGAGGTTAAGTGTTGAGCCTCAACCAGGAGTCCCCAGGGCACCCTTTCACTAGGCTAGGCTTTCCATGGGCACAGAGGTCATCCAAGTTGTAGGCCTCACCCTGGCTTGCCTTAGCCTGCATGCTGTTATTCTCTCATTCGTGGAGCCTGAGGCCCCCTATTTACACACAGCACTTTGTGTGTCCATAAACTCTTGCAGAGTTTATGGGAACACAGTTAACAGCCCACCTGTGTCCAATGCTAACCTGACCAGGCCCAGTGTTGGTAGCCTTCTCCAGTGATTTCTCCATCCACAAATTCACCTTCATAATAACTTCCATCTTTAAACAATAGCTTCCCATGACCTGGTAAGAGAAATCAGTGTGCCGTCAGCTGGTAGTGGGAGTGACCATAGACCAACCCATGCTGGTCGGGCTTGCTTTTTTTTTTTTTTTTTTTTTTCAGAGTGAAAACCTCAGTTGCCATGGTGGTGCTTGTCTGTAATCTAGCTACTAGAGAGTCTAAGCCAACCTGGGCAACACAGTGGAAACTCGTATAAACAAAACAACCCACTGAAACATTCCTGAATGCCAGCTCCTCGGTCGCAATGACCACAGAGGCATGAGATATGCATGCAGATGAGACCCTGGCTCGGTCCATATGAGGAGAGGGCAGTACATGTGTGTGCCCATGCATGAGAATGCCCATGGAGACTGGAAGTGGGTGGTAGGTCCCCTGGAGCCAGAGTTATGGGCTGTTACAAGTTACTGACATGGAGGTGCTAGGAACCAAACTCTGGTCCTCTTCAAAAGCAGAAAGCATTCTTAACTTCTGAGCCATCTTTCTTAAAGCAGTGCTTGAGACTGGAGAGATGGCTCAGTGGTTAAGAGCACTGGCTGTTCTTCCAGAGAACCCGGGGTTCAATTCCCAGCACCCACATGGCAGCTCAAAACTGTCTGTAACTCCAGTTCCAGGGAATCTGGCACCCTCACACAGACATACATGCCAGTAAAACACCAATGCACATAAAATAAAATTAAGTATTTCCAGGGCTACAAAGAAAAAAAAAATCTTCGTGATAAAAACACAAAAAGGTGAAAGGTGCTGAGGGTGTAGCCACATGGTAGAACACTTGCCTAACATGTACAGGCCCTGGGTTCACAAGAAAACAAAAAAGTAAAAAGTAAGGAAAATATTAGTAGAGTCTGGGCACAGTGGTACATTTGGGAGGCTGAAGCAAAAGGATTTCGAATTCAAAAGCTAGCTGGGGCTATATAACAAGATTGTGTCTCAAAACAAAAACAAAACAAAACAATAAAAAAGTAGCCAGTAGATACGAAAACCTCTCTAGCGAGCTAAGTAGGCAGAATCAACAAACTGAAAAAAAATCCAGGCAGTCCAGACATTGGAAAGTCTAGATCCAGCATTTTTCTGGTATGTGTGTGGGCCATTCCTGGGGATGTTTATCTTATGCTTCTTTCCTCTATTACTCAGGCTTTCTAAAAATATAGTCATTTCTTCTTCTTTTTTCTCCGTGTAGTCCTGGCTGTCCTGTAAATTGCTCTGTAGACAAGGCCAATGACTGGCTATTTCTTTTTCCTTTCCTTCTTTTTTGTTTGTTTGTTTTGTTTTGTTTTGAAATAGGGTTTCTTTGTATAGCTCTGGTTGTTTTGGAACTAGTAGACCAGGCTGGCCAGGAACTCAGAGATCCACCTGCCCCTGTGTCCTGAGTGCTGGGCTTAAAGGCATGTACCACTACTATCTGGCCTTTTTTTATGACCAGAAACAAACCATAATGCCTTGCCTGTATGTACTGCTAACTTGGGAACATATATACCAGACCATCCAAGCTAAAGAAAGGCAACAGGAGGCAGCCTGATGAGTTCACAGTTGCCTTTCCCCAGGAACCAAGAGATTCAATGTCTCATAGTAAAAGCTACATATCCTCTGGCTTTTGTCTGGTGGTTTTCTATAAACTGCAATGCTGCCACAGACATGATGGAGAGAACGGTTTTTTTTTTTTTTCCTCTTCATTTTTTTCTTTCCCTTGCTTGCCAATTTTGCTTCTTAATTTCTTTTGAAATACAGAGAAACTCAGGCTGAAGATTAGGAGCCTGGATGTCCAATAACAAGCACATAGCATATCATGATGGTGTGTGTGAGAGACAGAGAGAAACACACACACACACACACACAGAGACTTGGATCCATCGCCCTACTCTGTTCCTGTCACCAACAGTTCCATCACCCATCAGATTTTATGATGAGTTCCAAGCACGCAGGAGCTGGGGTTACAATGGTTCCTGCACGACTGGGGCAAAGCGCGCGGTACCAGGTGCAGGCACAGTACCATCCCGTGCTTGAAACAAGACCACCCGCCTGCCCAAGCTTCTCAGAAAACTGGCTCTGAGTTGCGAGGGTATGGCTTCTGCAGTGACCAGAAGCTTCTTACCATGTTTCTTTCCTCCCTTCCATTCTCCTTCATAACGGAAGAAAGAATTTGGGTATACATATACGCCATAGCCTGTATGTAAAAAAGACGAACAGAGTGACCGTTTGACACCAATAGACACAGAGACGGTGGGCAGCTCCGGGTCTGCAGTAGTCTGCAGGCCATTTCTAGTCTGTCAACCGTTTCAACGTGACAGCAGGCTTCACCTAGACTAATTAATTGCTGAGGATGCGCGGGACTCAGCTCTGCTTCTTGTTGCTCCCCCCCCCCTTCCCTTTCCCTTGGATTTTGCTACATGGACACGCACCGAGGATAATAAGGTAGGGCTGGCAAGAGGAGGGCTAGGACAAAAACTGATCGCGGGCTCTTACTTAGGTGGTGGTGAGTGCGCTGAGCATGCGGAGAGGAGCTCACCCTGCGCAGCCTGACCTGGGCTCTACCCGCCCCTCCTAACGCAGGGCAAGCCGGCCCTGAGCCTGCAGCCTGGACCACGCCTGCCGGGCACCCGCACGCGATCGAGGCCTGTCCGGGGAACAGTAGGCCTCAGCCCGGGCGCGGCCTCGAGTGCCAGCCTCGACCCCCTCGGAGCGACCGAGCTCCAGAGGGGATACGCAGCTCGTACCGTCTCGCGGCGGCCGTCTGGGCGAGTGCCGACGCGGCTGGAGCGGAGCGGCGCTCCGACCACCCGTCGCCGCCATCTTGCCGCCAAAGGTTTCCGAGCAACCATGAAGCCGCTTGCCATTGGCCTGCGGTTGCTAAGGGGCGTGGCCAGACTGCTCTGTCCTGGAGACCGTAACATCCTGAGCGACGGCGTCCGGTCCGGAGCCTGTAGACAGCCGTGCGCCTGCGCAGCACGGCGTACTTCCGCTAGCCCTGTCCTTCCGCCGGGAAGCATTCCCGCCAACGGCCTCGGCGTCCCCCCCCCCCATACACACACACACGGGAAGCGGAAATGGTTGGAGCTTGGGCCCCGCCCCGCGGCCATCTTGGCGGCGGCTGGAGGCGGCGCCGCAGGACGGAACGGAAGTGCCCGTGCAGCTAGCTTCCCGGATCCCGAGCCGAGCTCTGGCGGCCGCCCTGCCCGCCATCCTCCTCCCGCAGCCGTGAGGGAGACCGCGGCTCGGCTGCAGCGGAGCTGCGAGGTGCTGGGGGTGGGCTGGCGGCGCGAGCCTGGCCGGGCGGCACATCACCGCCTTCCTCCGGACTGTCAAGGCCATGGGCGGGCGGGCGGGCGGGCGGGCGGTGCCTTTGAGCCTGGCCAGGGGTTGCCACAGGGCCGTCCGATCCCCGGGAGGGCTCGGTCGGCGAGGGGGCGGCCGTGGGGCATTGGAGGAAGGCGGCTTGCTGCCGCCCGCACGCACCCACAGTTCGGAGAGTGCGGGGCGGGCATGTGTTAGCTGCCCTCTCGCCACCCCACCGCCGTGTTCGGTTTCGGGGCACACGTGTAAGCAATCAACCCTGAAGGGGCGCCGTCTAAACGACTGTAGATTATGTGCTGACACTAAGGAAGTGAAACAACCCCCTCCTCCCCCGGCTCTCCAGGCTGTGCCTTCAGCATCGTGCTAATTAATAAGGCCGGCTACATTGTCTTCCTTGGCAGGATATCACGCTAAGAACCCCCAGTGGCTCTTCTTCCTCGACTCTTAAGAATAGAGACGTGTGCGTGTGCGTGCGTGTGTGTGTTGACTTTTTAACTAACAGCACTGTGGAATTCCCCAGTAAGTGCTCAAAAGAACATCAGTAATCCCTTCTCCCTCTCTTGGGTCCTGCAGAGTGTGTTGGGGGATTGGCTGCAGTGGAGGTAGACTGTAAAAAGGCCCCAGGGAGATCCTCAAAGGTGGGAGGGGCCCAGGCTGGGAAGAGCTCATAGCTTAGGCCAGGTCTCTGTCAAACGGACCAGTCCTGGACCAGGCAGGTGCTGTGCTGTTCCCTGGCCAGGAGGCAGTGACCCCAGGTGCCGTGCAGAGAGCTTTCTCCTCTCTGCTATGTTAACTTAGGAGTGATGTAGTACAGAAACACGGGAGAATGTTCTGTGTGTGGTACTGGTGTCCTCCTCCTTGCCTTTTTGTGACTGAACGTAGCGCAGTCTCAGTAGGTGTGTGTGACAAGCACTGTAGGTTGTGATTCCCACTCAAAAGCTAGACAGGCTCCCTCAAGGAGCTTGCCTTTTGGTGGCAGGAAGCTGAGCGATTACTAGGAAGGAGTTGGAAAACAGTTGGTTTGTGTGTGTGTTTGTGGGGGGGGTTGTTTGTTTTGGTTTTCTGAGACAGGGTTTCTCTGTAGCTTTGGAGCCTGTCCTAGAACTCACTGTAGATCAGGCTGGCCCCAAACTTACAGAGATCCCCTGCCTCTGCCTCCCAAGTGCTGGGATTAAAGGTGAGCGCCTCTGCTGCCCAGTTTGGAAAACAGTCATTAAAGGAAATAGAACCAGTGATGTGACACGGGACTGGTGGTCAGTTTGGGTAGCTTGGAGGGTCTCTCTGACCTTTTGTCTGAGTGTTGGGAAGACTGCAGCTAGAACAGCTGGTATGAGGGTCTCCCCGATCCCAGGAGCAAGTCTGACTTGTTGAGGGGCTGGCACTTGCTTGGATCCGGGCTCTGAAGCTTCAGCACAGGCTGCCATTAGATCCTCATAAGATCCCTTCGTGGAAGGCAGTGAGGATCTCATCCCATTTTCCTGATCCAAGCCCGGGCATTCTTCATTAGCCTTCCCAGATCATACCACTCGGAAGTGCTAGGTTAGGATCTAAAGCAGACAGTGGAACTCCAAAGGTCACATTCTTAATCTTGGTATGCTGCCTCTCACAGGTTGTTACTGGCGGTGAGCTTAATCAAGATGTAGATCAATGTCTGTCTGATAATCACAACCTGACTAATGTGTATTTGGTAGGTTTCCTAGTATCATCAGAACCAGAGTTTTAAGCTGTCAGCTCAGCTTAAGAGTACATACTTTAAAGGAATAGTCCTGTCTTTTTTTTTTTTTTTCTTTGAAATTGTCTTATTATATAGATAGGCTGGTCTGGGACTATGTAGACCCGGCAGACCTCAAACTCACCTGCCTCTCTGCCTCCTGAGTACTGGGATTAAAGGTGTGCACCACCAGACCTAGCAATTTCCTTTCAATATTACTCTTGTCTCAGTTTAAGTAAATGTGTTTTAGTGGTAAACACTCTAAAGTAAGGGAACATTTGTGTGTACCAGAGGGTGAAGAATATGCCTAAGACAGCTTTCTGTAGGCTGGGTTTTGGTCTAACGGGGATGGCCATATCTACTCTAGGTAGTACATTCTAATGTGGCTTCTATTAAATGTGGAATCCCTCATAAAGTATAAAATGTATCCCCAGAAAGGAGAGCCATACCTAGGTTTTTCAGTTAAATTGTGTACATTTAGTTTATGCAACTTAACAGAGACCAAAGGGCGTCTCAGCCTTGGCCAGCTCCGAGCACTGTGCTCAGTGGGTCCAGGAAATGGAGGCATATTCACAGCTCTTAGTGCAGACTTGAGTCTGTAGCTGTGGAGAAGACCTAAGGGTTTCCCCAGTGTTCACACAGAGGACAGGCTGCAAGTGTTGGGCTCGTGGCGCTGCTGCCCTACTATGAGCCTGATCTTGCCTACTTTGGGAGTTGAGACCAAGCGCAAGACTTGCTGCAGATTGAGGTCTGCCTGTGTGTCTAGGTTTTAGTAAAGAGAGCATCATTTTGCACATGATAAACCTGAGGGTGATTGTAGCCAGAGTCTGCTGAAGGCCTCTCAGCTGCTCAGCACAGGCAGATTTAAGTCATACTTGAATCACAGTTTGTTTCTTTGCTTAAGTCTTCGTAGCAGAAGGAACCGGGACAGGTTCTGCACACAGATTTGAGAGGACCAGGACCATAAGATTTTCCCTTCCCACCTTTCAGATAGGATAGATGGCAAAGGCTCCATCTCATCACTTGACAGTTTCCCTGAGTCCATATCTGAAGAGCTGAGTATCAGGCTGGGCCTGAGCTGCTGTCTGGCCTTGGTCTGCTGGAGATTTGTCCTCTGTGAAATCGAGGACAATGATGGACTTCTGATGAACTGCTTAGCTGTGAATTCTGCCTGGGATCCCAGCAGCATGTTGAAATGGCCAAGGGCAGATAGCGTTACCTTTAGTTGCCAGATAAGAAATGGGCAGGGATAGATGGGCTACCTGCTAGCCTTGTTGATAGGGAGAGGATCTCTCTCTGGGAGTATAGATCCAGGCCAGAACATGGAGAAGACAGGATGTTTGGTGAAAACACAAAGAAATGCTTTAGATGAAATGTCAAGGCTGAAAAACTTTTTGACAGATGGTCAGGAGAGGGGATGCTTTCACACCCACAAATGCTTTTTAATTTTTAAAGTTTCTTGTGTTTGTCTCAGTTACAGAATGTCTGAAGGGGACAGTGTTGGAGACTCTGTCCATGGGAAGCCCTCAGTGGTGTACAGATTTTTCACACGGCTTGGACAGGTGAGTGGATTTGTAGATCATTAATAGAAATATTTGGAAAGAAACTGTGACTCCTGACAATCCACTTGAAGGGTGAGTTTTGCTGTTTCACAAAGAGAAGCTAAGCCACAGCTTGTCCTGGGTGGAAACTCTGACTTGCAGGATTTGACTCCTCAGCATGAGTGCCTGCATGCATGTCCCAGAAAAGGGCTGGCCATGCATAGAGAGAAGTCTGGGCAGTGGGGGCCCATCCCTTCTTGTTTTGCTGCTGCCTTTTTTTTTTTTTTTTTTTTTTTTTTTTTTAATGACCTTTAAAAACACTGATAGCCTTAACTCCCAGGTGCAGATAGCGATGGTCTTTCACCTGCCCTTTCCACCCGTTTTCCTTAACCTGCCACCTGCATCTACTCGCCTGGCACACCTCACCCCTCCTTGGCCTTCGTGCGCCTGTTGGGTGTTGTTTCCTGAGTGTGTGAGCCTCTCATGTTGGCTCAGGTAGATGTAGGTCACTACGTAAGGCTGTGTTTAAGGTTGCCTCACACTCACTATGTCTGATAGTCTGAGTCAGTAAGCTGATGTGGCTCAATTAAAAACATCAAGCTTTTGCTGGGTGGTGTGGCACTCACCTTTACTCCCAGCATTCAGGAGGCAGAGGCATGCAGCTCTCTGAGTTCAAGGCCATTCTGTTCTATAAAGTAAGTTCCAGGATGGCCAGGGCTAAGATACATAGCTTAAAATACCATAATTAAAATTTAAAGTTATATTTCACAATTAAAGTGTAAAACATATCTGTGTGTATAGGAAATGTGTGTTTATAGAAAAACCAAGAGTTTCCTTAGTAATGGCTGTGGCTGCTTTGGTTATGTCTACACACATGCTCTGTCTACACACATGCTCTGTCTGCCAGCAGCAGTCAAGCTGTGACCAGCCACTTACCAGTGGGGCTGACTGGGCCAGTGCAGGCCTGCTAGGCAAGTGCAGGTCCTGGAGTCTAGAGAGCACCTCTGGGCAGGGACAGGGCCCTTGGGAGAGTACCTCTGGGCAGGGACAGAGCCCTTGAAAAGCAGGCTTTGAGGCAAGGTTTGAGCTGTGAGTCTTACAGTGGTGAATTCAAGATGTGTGTTTTTTCCTTTGCAGTCCAAGTCTTTTCTTCGGGGTGAAGTTGGTCTTCTCTGTAGCGATGTTTCTGGGATAACGCTGTAGCACAGTGTTTTATGCTTGATTAGTTTAGAATGTTTTTCCTTAAGAATTGGATCTGTTTC